ACATTGACATTTTGGACAGTTTTCTCATCCCTTCAATTGAACCGATGTTTGAGGTGATGAAATCATTTTCCAAGATGACAATGCAATGGGCCATAGCGCAAAAACAGTGAAGGCATTCCTTAGAGAAAGACACAGTCAGTCGATGTCATGGTCTGCAAATAGTCCAGATCTCAACCCAGTTGATAACCTGTGGTTGAAATTGAAAAAAATGGTCCACAAGAAGGCTCCGACCTGCAAAGCTGATCTGGCAACTGCTATCAAAGAGAGTTGGCACCAAATTGATGAAGAATACTGTTTGTCACTCATCAAGTCCATGCCTCAGAGACTGCAAGCTGTTATAAAAGCCAAAGGTGGTGCAACTAAATACTAGTGATGATTTTTAGAATGGTCTTTTGTTTATGTTTTTCATGATTCCATACTTTTTTCCTCAGAATTGAGTGAGTCCATATTTTTTCCCTGTGCTTGGTCAATAAAAGTAACATTCACTGACTTCCACAATGTTTTCTCTTCATTTCTTTGAGTGTTCCTGAAAGCCAACAAGTTGCACTTTAGAATGACCTTATTATTGTATCATGTTTTTGATCTGAGTTTGTTTTACATTAGTGCTCATCCAAGACTGGTGATTCCACACTTTTTGCCAGGGGTTGTAGTAACATGATAAAGCTTACTGGCCTGACATAAGCAGGAACGATAAGCTTTACTCCATCAGTGTGACAACGCACAATGTTTGTTAGCATCTCCGCTAATGAAAAATRGAAGGTGCTGCTTGTGTGACGTGTATCCAGTTTTAAATCATAAGAAAATAAATCTGAATTCATAATTCTGACTCAGAGAGTTGAAGGTCCCTGACTAAACACAAAATTCAATACGAAAGCCTGGCGTATGAGAAGCAGAGGTGTGTGAAGCAATAGTTTTTATTTTTATTTCCTGTCACATAAACAGTTCTTTGTACTATATTAGAAAAGATGAAGCTGCAATATGTTTGAATCATTTTAAAATGCACTGGTATTTGCTTAAACTGCGAAGAATAATTAGTGGTTGAAACTCCGTCCTGAACTCCTGCAGGTGAGAAGAGCGCGGCTTTATATGGCCGAACCTTTGAGGCGCTTCGCCTTTCCTACTTGTGAAGTATTTTGTGACTGCGGTTCTTAGCAATGTAAACAAACACGATACGCTTACGTCTCCCCTGTGTCAGCCTCTGTTCATAAACAACTCTGTTCCAGCTTGTCCCACGCCCTTATCCAAACGTCCGTCACCCCACAAACAAACAGACTTGAGCAGAGATCAAACACTGGCTCTCATGCCACATCTCCTTCGTGGTTTCAAGGTTATTRCCACGGATGCCCACATCGCTGCTCCAAACACGAGCACTGCTGGTGAGGAAGATGTGTTAAAGAGAGGACCGGACACAGCTGAAGGAGATCTAATGCATGCATCTACACAAAAACAAAAGGATTGTTACAATAAGTGACWAACGAGAGGAGCAGGACTCCTGAAACCATCTGATAATGAGATCAGCCAACAAGGCTTTCACAGTTTCTGTCAAATATCTCATTTACAGGTCTCTTTTGGCTCTGCCTTTTTTTTTTCAGCTCCCAGATATGGAACTATTGGATTACTCCAGCAGACTGTAGGCAAAATGAAGAATCAATAGCCAAGCAGCAGCACAGAGCACAGAGGACCAGACCACTGGGCTTTTATAACCCCCACTATCCTCCAACCAAGATGTTATATACATGCAGTGATCTGGGTTTGAGACTGGACTGTTCTTAGAGAACACTGAAGTTGATTTAGGGTTTTATCAAAACCTGAGCAGAATTTGCCTATACTGCCTGTGCCACTGGCCGGCCCCGTTAAAAGAGCTTTAAGACAATATTTATCACCTGCTGCTGCTTTGGCCAACGTCTGAGCATGCCTGCTCATTTGTTTGTAGTGTTAGCACAATATATTTTAACCTCTGGATGGGTTTTATTGAAATTTTCAAAAAGCAATGCGCCATACATCTACAACACAATTCAAGATGGCCGCCACAGGCAGGAAAAYGACTATAATTCAGCCAATCTCATCCTCCGATTGTGGCGAGAGATCTCACCAGATCTACAGTAGCATCATCCAATGAGGTTGTGCAGATTAGTATTTACAAGGTTTGACCAAAATGGCTTGAAGTTTAAAACCCCGGCACAAAACCCTAAACCTGATGGGCAACAAGCTTTCCTCCAGGGAATAGTTTTCATTTTTTTGCATTGGGAAACTTGTTCGTGTGTACGTGTCATTGCATATTTAGATCACTTGGGGCAACCATGTGAAATATTTGCTCCTGTCAAAWGTTTTATGACCTATAATGGATCATAAGTTTGGATAAATAAATGTGACTGCCCTATAAATGTAATAAAAAAAACATGATACGCAAGTAATAAACTTCATGATTCCAACCACAAGCATATTACTTTTCTGCTCCGACAGACAGATACCAATCTTACACACAAACACACACASTTCCTCTCCTAGGAGATGAAACTGCAAAGTTTACATCAGATTGGACCATCTTCTTTGTGTTCGGCTTCATAATTTCTTTAATCATCTGGAGGAGTGTTTGCCTTTATCATCCCTCAGACAGGCAGGCTGTGACGCAGCTGCCTGCTAACACCAGGCACGATGCAGCACTGCAGAGCCTGAAATGTGTGCGTGTTTCTCTGTGTGTGTGTGTCATTAAAAGTCGGAGCCAGAGTGGAGGGTGTGAGCAGACGGACCCGATAACTGGAGGGGAACTTTTATTCATAATGTTGGTGAATGTCAACAAAACGTGTGCTCCTCCTGTGACGCTGGGATAGAAGCTGATGGAGAACAGAACATCTAATGCTTTTTTTTATTCTGCAGTGGAGCTGAAGGAACGGGACAGGTTTATTATCTGGGAACATTCGAGCCAAAGAATGAGACAAACAATGAGATGACATGACCAGTGGAGCAGGTGTGGTTGCAAACGTAGTTATCTTTTTTTGTCTTAACGGGCTTGTACTATTTTATCAAGGCCCTAGCACAGATTGAAGGAATGCATATTGCCCACCACCTTTCACCACCTTGACCTTTCAAAGGTGACATAAATAGAAAATAAGAGAAGACGACAGACAGGGTCAGAATGAAAAACAGAAACAAGATAGTAAATATGTGGACGTTTAATATAATCGCACACGAACCTGAAGCACCTACTGAGTTTGACTCAGTCCTTATTGCTGCAGAGACAAGTGAAAAAAATCACTGCAGACGCACTCAAACCAGCTGCAGACAAAGAATGGATGCATTTCATTTCGTAGGATGACTAAGAGAAACCCGGGGAGAGGCTTCGCTCTGCGCGTTTGAAATTCATGCAACGCTTCCCTCAAGTTCTTCTCTGCATGGGAAGCAGAGAGGAGAAGGAGAAGAAGGAGGAGGAGGTCACCCACTGTGTCCAGAGGGGCACATGATCAGTTGAAGGATGGGGAGGGGGGGCAGCAAAGAGGTGGGTGTATGAAGAGAAAGCAGAGACACAGAGGCAGGCAGCAATACAACACAGCTCCCTCTGAGACCGGTCACATCAGCCTCATGTCACAACGTCAYGACCCAGGGGTCACAAACACAACGAGGACAATAGGAGACAGGCTCTGCAGGCCCTTCTTTACTCAGCATTTAAGCCTCATGCAAGGCACAGGCTTATATGGAAATATCATCCTGACTTGATTCTTACAGAAGAAGCAGCAGAAAAAGAAGGGAGACGTYTTTTTTTYTCCACCTTACRRWGTTTTCTCCTACTGTAGTGGTGTCCCCCTCCTACTTTTCCTCTCCAACACAGGGTTTCCCCGARTGGGCCCCTGCAAACTCCCGTCGTCAACAAACTCGTAGAGAG